AACTTGAAAGACTACATAGGACACTTACGGGGCAGTGACTTTATGTAAATGGGGAAAGAACAACTCAGAAAAAGGAGGAGCAGAATGGTTGCAGAACTCAGAGAATGTGACCAATGTCACTGAATGGTATGTGTAGAAACAGTTGAATTGGTGTGTATTTTGCTGTATGTATTCTCAACAACAAAATAAAATTTGAAAGAAAAAGGCTATGTCTGCTTTGAGCATTCTGCTCTTTTGAGAGCTACCATTATGGGATCAATCTGACAACAACATGGACGATTTGATAGGAATCTCAAGGGGCAGGGAGTTTATGTTAAAGGAGGATGAACAACTCAGAAAAACAAGGTGAAAAAGATTGCACAACTTGAAGAATGTAACCAATGTCACTGAACACAGAGTCCTGAATTGGTGTATGATCTGGTATGTACATTCTCAACAATAACAAAAATAAATGCTTTAAAATAAAGAGAGAGAATGACAATAGTCATATCATAAAAACTGAATGTTTGGTTTGACCCTACTGTTTTCTAAAGGCCTGGCACAAAGAAGCATTACTTTATGACTAACTCACATGCATCTTCTCTGGCTGGTATCAAGTATGCTTAAGTCAGCAAATGGAAAACTTGCCAAGAACTACGAAGAAGGAAACATTCTCCCCAGTGCTGTCCACATAGGCCTATTTGTTTGTTCATTTGTCATCCATTTAAACCAAATTTAAAAGGGACAAAAATTGTGTAAAAATGGTAGATTTATGACACCAATAAATTGGCCATACTAATCTAAAAGTGCCATATGGGCTGTAAGAAAATATTAAAGTGGGCATAAATGATTGTCAAAGATCCTCTATTGATAGATGTTAAGGTTCTAGCAGAATGATTAAGAATTCTCATTGCCATTGGCTACAGGAGGGCATCAGTCAAGTTGCCAATTACTCACTGAGTTGGTTTTCTCATTTATAATATGGTATAATACCCAAAGAGGGGTCACTATGAGTCGGGGCCAACTCGACGGCAAATAACAACAAACAACAACAACAATAATACCCAAAGAGTTACTAACAGATTAAACAAGATGACATAAATCACCTGGCATGTGAGAAGTGTTCCAATTACCATATTATCATTAGATCAGATAGAATATAACTGGCAGATGTGTTAATTCAGTTTCTCCAGAAGCATAAACCAAGACGAGATAAGATGTGCAAGAGATTTATTAGGGAAATCACCTGTGAGGGAAAATGGAGTGGGAGCTGAAAGAGGCTGGGGAAGCCATGAGACTGTGTTGCTGGTCTGAACCCTGCCTGGAAGTCAGGGAAGGAAGGTTGGGAGGTCATGTCAGATGGTTGTGTTGTTGCTATGTGCCATCAAGTCAGACTTGACTCATAGTGACCCCTCCTTGGGTTCCCAAGGCAGTATCTCCATGGAAGTAGAGTGCCCAACCTTCCTTCCGTGGAGTGGCTGGTGGGTTTGAACCGCCAGCCTTCTGGTTAGCAGTCAAGTGCCTGAGGCACAATGCTACCAGAGCTCCCAGTCAGATGGTAGTGCTGTAGTAAGACATTTTCAGCAAAGCCAATGGGAAGTCCTCAAGCCAATCACCCATTAAAGGAGTCCTGTGTCTCTAAAAACAGACCTGTCCTAGTCATTCTGCCACACTGTTGGCTGGGAGAAGCTCATGGGAATCGTGACTTCACATAAACGTGATGTTGGTTATCACAGCCATGGGTCAATTACACTCCCTGCAGACATCTCAGAGGCCCGCTTTCATGGCTTCCAGGGTATTCTACCATATTCCTTGATGCCTATTGTATCTCTGCTAAATTCTCCAATAATAAAAGCAAATGTCTGAAAGAAAGAAACTGGAAGGTGACAATTATCTTCACAACTTCACTTAAGAGCTATCAGCTACTCTGGATTTATATTAAATGAATATTTATAAAACTACTTATATTGGTGCCTGAAAAAAAATAATAACTCAATGCTGTGGAGTCAATTGCAACTCATAGTGACCCCTCCTTGGGTTTGCCAAGGCGGTATCTCTACGGAAGTAGATTGCCCAATTTTCCTTCCAAGGAGTGGCTGGTGGGTTTGAACTGCCAGCCTTCTGGTTAGCAGTCAAATACCTTAGGCACTATGCCACATAGTAAATGCTTAGTAAGTGCTGACTGTACTATAATTTTATTATTCTTGATAAAAGGAGTTCTTGGGTGACATAAACAATTAAGTGCTGGACTATTAAACCAAAAGGTTGGCAGTTTGCATTCCCCCATAGGGGCACCTTGAAAGAAATGTCTAGCTGTCTACTTCTGAAAGGTCAAAGCCCCGAAAACCCCATGGAGCACAGTTCTATCTGAAACACATGAGGTTGCTATGAGTCAGATTGGACTTGATGGCAACTAGGTTATTATGTCCCAGGGGGGTGAACATGGTTTGCAGTTGACCACTATCTTCAAGGTTGGTGGTTCAAACCCATCCAGTAACTACAGAAGAAAGCCTTGGCAACCTGCTTCTGTAACGATTACAGCCAAGAAAGCACTTCAGAGCCCAGTTCTACTCTGTAACACATGGGGTCACTATGAGTTGGAATCCACTCAGTAACAACTGGTTTGGCTTATTTTTAATTATTATTATTAATATGATCTCAGAATTTAAGCAAACCTCTCAGAAAAGACCTGCATGCCTATGATTTTTCAGTCCTCTTCCACCTAGATATAAAGAGACAATAATGCAGGAATAGGGAGCTTCCATTCAAGAATCTGTAACACAAAAACTAAATTTTCTCTTTGGGAAGCAGAGAGAAACTAAGGCAAAGATGAAAAGAGAGGAGAGAATTCTGTTCAGAAGCAATTTCCCATAAATTCTCATAACATTTTGTAACTTTCTTTGCCTTTAACAAATTCTACCAAATAATTGTAATTACTTATGTGTATATCTAGGAGCTCTGGTAGTGTGGTGCCTAATGCACTTGACTGCTAACCAGAAGGCTGGTGGTTCAAACTCACCAGCCAGTCCTCGGAAGAAAGGTTGGGCAGTCTACTTCCATAGTGATACTGCCTCAGAAACCCAAGGAGGGGTCGCTATGAGTCGGGTCCAACTCAACGGCACATAACAACAACAACATATATACATCTATCTCATTGTATTAATTTGGTCAACAAATAATTATTTGGTGCCTCTGTGTGCCAGGTGGAGTCCCTGGGTGGTGTGAATAGTTAACACTGTTAACCAAAGGAAGGTGGTTTGAGTCAGGCCACAAGTGCCTCAGAAGAAAGAGCTGGTCATCTACCTCTGAAAACTCAGCCATTGAAAACCCTATGGAACGCAGTAGGTTTGCCATGAGTCAGAGTCAACTTGACAGCAACTGGTTTTGATTATGTGCCAGCCCTTGTTCTCAGTGCTCGGGATTAATACATCAGTAGACAAAATAAAGATGTCTGCCCTTGCGGAGGTTACATTGTAGTAGGGGTGACAGATCATAAATGGGATAAGTAAACTAAATAGTCTGCTAGAGGGTGATAGGTATGTGGAGGGGGGTAATAAAACAAGATTCGGGGATAAGGTTTGCAGTTTTTTTAAAAGTGGTTGGGTAGGCCTCCTGAAGAAGAAGAGTTACAGGAGTGAGGGGTGACAGTGACTTTCTTATTAGACAGCTTAATCACCAAAGAACCAAGCACAGTTCCTTGTACATGTAAATATTTAATAAACATTTGCTGATCAAGAGGAAGTGAAAGACGTGGTCAAAACTATGTGCTAGACTGAAGATCATTCAAAAATGGATATCTTTGGTACATCTAAGTCACAATTCTTACTGAAGCCCCAGAATGTCCTATGATTATTCCTCAAGAAATACTGAATTCATTGATATAAGCACAGTGGAAGTTATTAAAAATGACTATCACTATTTTAAAAAAGGAAAACAGAGAACAATGCCTCAAGAAGCTGAGTTTTACTTTCTACTTTATAGCCAGAGTTAGCATTTACTTTCCACAGACATGTATGTCAATTGGACTTGATGTCTGCCATGAAGAAATTACCTGCCGTGACACACACTGTGTTGATCAGGAAAGACTTTGCTTCTCCATTTAACTTTAGGTCTAAAATGACAAATCTACCCCAAATATGTCCTTGTATATACTCTAAACTGCTCATCAGTAATAAATTATATTTTAACTTACATAGAAGAATGTTAACCAAACTTTTTTCCAATAAATCATTTCACACAGGTATATGCTTATGAATCTATTTAATTGATCTAAGTGTGCTAGAGAATACATATTTTGGAATACAGACGTCATTAGATTCAGTTACAACATGGGTGATTTTTCTCATATGAACCTGATTTTCAAAATGAAATTTTTACCAAAAAAAGAAAAATCTGATCACCTGCTGCCAAGTCTATGTTACATCACAATATATTTTTCAATTATACATTTAATGATGTCAATTTCTGCTAATTGGTTTCATAAGTATTAAACCTCTAATCTTAAATTATTTTTCATAAATAATTCCAAATATGTTCTCCAGTTATTATCTTTCTAAAGAAGACATAGATTAATCTATGTTTATACACAAATTTTCTCTACACAGTCATACTTTTTTAAAAGATTAAAGAATGTGTAAAAGCAATGGCTCTCCAAGTCAAAGACAAAAAAAAAAAAAAGACAAAATCTAATTATGACTCCTTATTTTCACTCTTTGAGTTTTATTTTCTTCCCTTGTCTATTTTCTTAAATGGTAGAAATTGCATTCTTAAGGAGGTAAACTCCCTTCAGGCAAGCTTGATAAGTGAGAGATGTAAACACTTAATGTGAACATACTATTGAGAAGATACTATCCAATAAATGTAACAACGATGTTACTATGTCAATTGTTTTTGGGGAAAAGTTAGTTTTATATTATCAAAAACATCATGATTTTAATTTCCTTGGTAGAAAATATATTAACTTTCTGGATTGAAATGGAGAGCCTTTCAACACAGGAGCTGTGTAGTCAGCAGTCACTCAACTAATCAGGATAGCAAGAGTCCGGTGTCAGGGCCGTTGTCACCATTTTGGTCTTCCCACCATAGGTCAGTGGGACCGTATTAGTGTAGCACTTGTTTCTGTCATAAGTATAGCAGGTCTCACTGTCTTCATCACAGATATTGCTCTGAGTGGCAATAACCACCTGATTGTCCAGCTCCACTTCCACGGGATCACATTTCTTACAGCTGAAAAACAAGTGTCTGCATTAGACACTCCCCATCAAACACTGTTTCAAAATCTGAGTGACTACACATTTCTATCTAAAATGAATTAATTCTTCCAGATCTGACCTTACAACTGATAAAGTGACTCCTTTCAAATCTCAGCAGCTCTACAATAAGGAATCGTTTATAAAATCTTTCCACCTTTAATATATAACACTTAGCTACCAAGTAAGCAATATAACTAGTAATATGATGTTGTTTTATCTATACACACAGCAACTTTTATTATGGTTTATTCATAACTGTATACATGGATTAAATTTAGAGTGACAAGGAAGGCAAAATTAAAAAAAAAAAAAAAAAAAAAAGCTGTTGGTTTGTATAGTTGCCAAAGAAATATCTTCATATTCATGTGTCTGAAATCCACTTACTGAACTATTAAGACAAATTGGCCCTTCTTGTAGTAATAAGAATGACTTCTTCTTTAGAATAAATTTAGATCATTTCTATCTGTGATAAAGATTTATGAATTTATGATACCGAATAATTAAAATAAGAATGAATTATTTAAAAGTTCTAATTATATTTCTAATGTTGATACACAAACATACTTTCAAAAATATTTTTAATAACAAGGTTAATCAAAAGTTATTAACTTCCACGTCTATATTGCTATGAAGGGAAATTTCTTACAGGTCAGACAAATGGTACACAAATTTGGTCCTCAGTGGTGAGTTGGGATCAGAGATATTCTCCCTGTTGTTCAGAGGAACACTAGAAAAAAAGAAAAGTAAAATAATTGACCTAGTAAGTAGCAATAGCTTTGTTAATATCTATGTCACTAGAACAGAATTTAATGTTTCATTAAAACAAATTACCATTACATTAAACACATTGCCATTGAGTAGATTCCAACTCATTGTGACCCTATAGGACAGAGTAGAACTGCCTCAATGGGTTTCGAAGGCTGTAAAATCTTTATAGAAGCAGACTGCTACATCTTTCTCCTGCAGGGGGCCTGGTGGATTTGAACCACCGACCTTTCAGTTAGCAGCTGAGCACTCAACCACTTGTACAACTAGGTCTCCTTTATGTTACAAAATAATAATAATAATAATCACTGCCATCAAGTCAATTCCAACTCAGAGCAACCCCCACTAGGCTTTCAAGGCTATATATCTTTACAGAAGTAGATTGCCTCATCTTCCTCCCACAGAACAGCTGGTGGGTTTGAATCTCTGACCTTTATGTTAGCACCCTATAAACACTCTACAGTAACACTATTACTCATATTTTTATGATAATTTGCCATATTTTAAACATTTATCATTCAAAATAATCCTCACAACAACTCTTCTGTCAATTTTCTTTGCTTACTTGGCTAATCCCTACTTTTCCTTTAAGAATCAGGTCAAGTTTTACATCTGTGATTGCCTTGACCTCACCAATAAACTCTTTCCTCTGTAGTTTCATTGATGTTTATGTATCTTTATTACAATAAATGCCATGTCAAAGTTTCTTGTCTGCAGATTGATTTTTCCCTAGAGTATATATTTCCTGAGGCAAAAACATCTTTTCACTGATGTAGTCTCAGTGCTTCGCTGGATGTGTGGTGGTATGTATAATATGTTCAATATTACTCTAGAGAGGCTAAAATTAGAAATCAGAGAGACTAGGTGACCTATCCAAATTCACACAACTAATAAGCAGCAAAGCTGAAACTAGAATCAAGATCTCTTGATTTGGTAATAGCCCATGAAAAATTAGTGCTTATCAACCTATTAAGGTGATTTAAATTCTTTCATTTATAATAGCATTTCTCCCCATATCCACCCATGCCTACCAAAAGAAAGAAACAAAAGTTGTGTTTCCTAACTCACTATGTAGCAACATCAACCACACAGGTATCCAGCCCAAACCTGGAAATCATCTCTGACTCCTCTCTCTCTGACCCTTCTAGTGCATTAATCGCATTATAGCCAAAATGGCCTTTCTAAAATACAAACCTAATTTCCTCCTCTGCTTAAAACCCACAGTGTTTCCCTGTTGTTGTTATTGTTGTTAGGTGCCGTCAAGTCAGTTCTGACTCAGAGAGACCCCTATGTACAACAGAACGAAGCCATTCCCGGTTCTGCTCCACCCTCACAATCGTTTCTACTGCAGTATGAATTCCCTGAAGACACAGGCTGTGTTTTATAGAAATTACTGTATCCTCAACTCTAACCTTCAGTGTTTAGCATTCATTAGCACTCAATAAACATTTATTGAATGAATTAATTTATTCCTTATCAGATTGTAAAAACTCTGAGGCACTAGGAGTCAGAATCGACTTCACAGCAGTGAGTTGTGTTTTTTGGTTTTGGCGAGACAAACATGGTTCTAGATGCTTTAATACATTTTCATATTTAATCCTCACAGCCCTATAAAGTGCATATAGGAGTATATTCACATAATAGCTTATATGGTAAATACAATTTTGCCATAGGAATGGTTCACATATATGCACGTGTGTGCACACACACATACACACTTTTTCACATATATATCCTTTTAACTGTTTTGGGAAGCAGGTTCAAATTAGTTAAGTAACTTTCCCAAAATCAAGTGATGGAGTCAGGAACGATGCCATAATGACACAGCAGCAGATGTTAAATTCAATGGTAATAGAATTTTGAGAAATAAGACAAGGAAGCATCAATTTACATCATGTAAAGTGACACAAAGGATGAATTATCTGATTTCAATAAATAATATAATATCATAAAAAGTATCACATCATAGAAGAAAAGGATGAATAGGAGAATCTTGGAGGATCGTTTAAAATTTTTGCCCTTGGGGATTTAAACATAAGACAGACACTCCTCTTCAGCATTGTTTAGGTGCTGATGTCATGGATGCCATCCCTCCAGGTAGTATGCTTCTCAAATCATTCTGTCTGTAACAGAGGACTAAGGGCAGTGTTGGTCCAGTGGTAGAATTCTCACCTTTCATGCAGGAGAATGAAGTTCAACTCCCAGTGATACACTCTGTGTGAAGCCACCACCAATCCCTCAGTGAACACTTGCATGTTGCAGTGGTGCTAAATAAGTTTCTGCAGAGCTACGAGGTAAGCCTGACTGCAAGAAAGGTCTGGAGACCTACTTCCAAACCTCAGGCCATGAAAACCCTGTGCATCACGACATGCTGATCCCCAACTGACCATGGAGCTGATGCAAAACTGGCTGTACCTGGGGTCTACAATAAATGTCATGTCAAAGTTTGTCTGCAGATTGATTTTTCCCCAGAGTATACATTTCCTGAGGCAAAAACATCTTTTCATTGATGTATTCTCAGTACCTAGCTGGATGTGTGGTGGCATGTATAATTATTCTAGAGAGGCTAAAATTAGAAATCAGAGACACTAGGTGACCTATCCAAGTTCACACTAATAAGCAGCAAAGCTGAAACTAGAATCAAAATCTTTTGATTTGTAATAATCCCATGAAAAATTAGATAGTGCTTATCAACTAATTAAGTCAGGGGCCACCCAGTGGCAGCCAACAACAGGGAGCTAAGTGGAGTCAAAGGCCAAACAGTCAAGAAAACTGACTAGAGGAAGTGATGTCTAAATTAGGGCAAGTAGGTTGAGCAGGAGTTAACCAAGCTAAGAGGGGAGGGCAGAAGGACTACCACGTATAAAAGTGGAAGAAGAAGAGAGTGCTGTGAGTTGGAGGAGTTAAAGGTATTACAATATCACTAGACTTTCAAACATAAAGTGAAAGAAATGTGGCAGTGGGCGAGCTTGAGGGCTGCTGTTTCTGAGCCTTGTTGTTTCGGTTGAAGCACTTGTAATTTACCCTAAGAACAATGTTGGGAACACTCTTGAAGCGGTTTTAAGCAGAGCAGTGATGTATGATAGGCTACAGGCACATAGGTTAGGTGAATAAAGAATAGTCAATACTTAGATGACTAAGGAGCTCTGGTGGCACTGTGGTTAAAGCATTGGGCTGCTAACCAAAAGGTCATTGGTTTGAACCCTCCAGCGGCTCAACGAGAGAAAGGTCTGGCAGTCTGCTTCCATAAATATTTACAGGCTCGTAAACCCTGTGGAGGTCACTATAATTGGAATTGACTCAATGGCACTGGCTTTGAGTTTTTGTTTTGTTTTGTTTTTTTGCCAGGGACTATGCCAAAGTCTCAAAGGAATAGATAATCTCAATTCATCTTCACAATAATCCTGAGGTAGACACTATTTTTCCCCTGTTTAAAAATGAGAAAGCTGAAGTGTAGAATGAGTAAGATGTATGCATACAAGAGCACACAGCTATTAAGTGACCCAGTAAGGACTTAAAACAAAATTCTTAAGCACATACTTCTTCTATTGATGAAAGGGGATTGAATGCTATGCTCTTTTTCTGCTAGAAGTACTTGACTGGAAGTAATCTATTCATGGTAAAAGTGGTTCATAGGAAAACATTACTAATTAGATACAACAGAAAATTCACTTCTCAAGTATTGTTAACATTGAATAAGAATCATATAGCCTGTAACTCTGGTTTATGTGTGAAATGAAATGAATATCTGAAGTTCAATCTAAAAGTGAAGCTTGAATGAAATTAGTCAATTTGATCAGTCTACCTTATTTTTATGCAGACATTTAAGTACAGTATACAATACTCAGAAGCCCATATGTGGTATAAAATAATACTTTTAGCGTTATCTTAGGTTTCATTTTGAACTGATCAAGGGCAACTGAGAATTCTGACTCAAAATTAAATAACTCCATATAAATAGGCCATGTTGATGACTAGATCAGAACTTTCAGTTATGATCTGACCTGGCTGACTGGTTTGAGATGCCTCAGAGCCCCTAGTCTTGAAACCTCTATTCCTGCCCCTCTCCAACTTCTATAAAATTGGCTCATGCCCACTAACCTGATTCAACATCAGGTAACACACAATACTCCATAAAGGTAAGAAAGACACAGGTATCACATTCAGTGCTTAATATAAGAAAGTATCTCTGCTTACAACATGGGAAAAAAGAAATATGGAATGTCACATACATAATTCGGATGTTTCTTTCCACAATATCCTGGCTAGGATCTTCTTCAGAACGGATGATTCTGGAAGTAACCCGGGCACACTTACATTTGTTGTCAACAAGAACAGTGCCTTCATCTTTGTCTTCAGCTTGAAAAGGTAAAACATATTAAGAAGAAAGAGAAATAAAACTTTATATACTTTGTATTCATCTACCTTTCTTGCCTTCAGAGAAAGAAAGTTATGAGATTGGTCAATCTCAGCTTTCTCCTTGTGTTCTCTTTCCTAGCTAAAAGAGGAATTGCAAATGCATAGAAACCAAAAGTTCATTGGTGATTACTAGAGGCTGGTGGCAGGAGGGGAAAATGGGGAGGCATTTCTTAAGGGGAACTGAATTCCTACTAAGGGGATTGAAAATTTTGGAAATAGACAGGAAGATGGTTGCACAGCATGGAGAACATAAATAATGTCACTGAATTGTACATATAAAAATGGTTGAAATGGCCAACATCTTGTTACATGTATTTCACACCATAAAAAAATAAAGTAGAAACTTCATTTTTACATCATAGTAAAAGAAATCCAAATGTACTCTAAGAGGAATTTTCTTTTCTTTTTTTTTTGTTTTTCCTTAATCTATTCTATGAATAGTCTTATGAATAGCAGTGAAACACTGCCTGATATGGAAACCCAGGCTGAGACAATTCTGGTTTTCACCAATACTTCTAATAGAGCTGTAGCTTCTGAGTAACACAGCCTTATAAAAATCACTGACAAATGTCAGAGTGAGAGAGAAAACCGAAATATACATTGGATTTCTCTCAGACCAAAGCAATTTATTAAAAAGCAAACAAAAATAACATTAGCCTTTATAAACCCAGCTTCAAATGTCACATCCTTATTCAACTGCTATTTATAATTATTTTCTTAAATTGCATAAGAGCTAAGAACAGGCTTGTTTGCCTCCAAGATAACCTTATTTTATAAAATTTAAATAGTCTCCACCACAATTTTCCTAAACTGAATTATATTCCTCTTTTTCACAATACTAATCAGGTTATCATGGTATAATGGTTCAATCAAATAAAAAATAAGTAATATATTTTTATTAATAATTCTTAGGATAAGAATTATTTTTAAATAATTATTTAATATGTTTAAAAATTATCGTATAGATGTAAAGTCTTATAGATTTGCAAAAGAAAATATTGTGAGGAGCATGGTCTATTTAATATGTTTATATATAGAAAATATGAATAAGTGAATAAATATGCAGATGACCATTAAACCCTTACTTTGAGTGTTTAATCTTTTTATTGTTGAATGTGAGTCTTAGAAAAAGGATCTGGTAAATGTTTCAAAGAATAAACAAAGAAAATTTCTTATTATCTGATTTAGATCAGTTAATACTTTGATAATTTAGAAAGTTAATCATAGCTTTGTTTTAATAGTACTGATTAAACAATTATTGATGTTAAGTATCTTTTTTTATTCTTATAAATTTTAGCCAAATGACTTTTGAAAATTTCCCTCATCAAGCCTCAACTAATAAAACAAAGATTTAGCACTTGTATTCAAGTTAGAAAGATTAAATAGGATAGAAAAAGTTTTTGTAACTGAAAGTGCAATTATTGCTGAGATGATTCCGAGAGCAAAGAGTACCTAATTGCAGGGTTTTGGTCTTAATGATGATAGCTATTACAAAAACATTTTAAAACCACTGATGTTGTACTTATAATTGTTCAAAGTACTTTATTATGCATTATTTTGCCATTATTCATAAGTTCTTAATAAATCTTCTGGCGAAAGTCTGTATGGTAGTGGAGAAGAAACATGAAGTCAATTCAAGATAATGATATAACATTTATTAACATTCTGAATGCAGTTATTATTGTTAGGTGCTGTGTAGTCAGTTCCAACTCATAGTGACCTTAGGTACAGCAGAATGAAACACTTCCAGGTCCTGAACCATCCTCCCAATCATTGTCATGCTTGAGTCCATTGTCGCATCCACTATGTCAGTGCGTCCCCTTTCCTACTCCTGTATCCATAACTCTTAAATGTTTTTGTCAATAGAACACAAATAAGCATATAGTGCCCACCAAAATCTTAGATTAATAGTTAAGTAAATGATGTGACTATAAAGTACATGTGTTTTTATTGTTGTTATGTGCCATCGAGTCGGACCCGACTCATAGCGACCCCTCCTTGGGTTTCTGAGGCAGTATCACTACGGAAGTAGATTGCCCAACCTTCCTTCCAAGGAGTGGCTGATGGGTTTGAACCGCTAGCCTTCTGGTTAGCAGTCAAGTGCCTTAGGCACTATGCTACCAGAGCTCCTAACAAATGTTTATATACATACAATATGTTTATAGCAAGTATGTTTATGTATGTATTTATTTTTTATTAATAATATTTAAAAAATCTTATTAGAGAGTTGTGACTCTTTATGCTAAGTTAGTATGAAATATAGACACAATGACTATTCTTGACTACATTTTCTAGCATGTTTTTTCTTGAAATAATAAATCCAGTGAGTATTATAAATTTACAATTTATGTGCCCTTCTAAATAAAAATTATTTAATACTGTACTTCTATATTCAGGATGTATACTATTTTCTGTAGTTTGAAAGATCCACACACAAAATAACCAAAGTTCAGCAATCAAGTTATAGACAACCTATATAACATTAAGCATTGTTAAAGGGTCATAATAAATCTGTGGGCTCTGATCCAAGAAAACTGTTTGAATTAATGCCAGCCTCTCTGGTGAAATAAAATCGCAATGCATTATATATCATATCTACAGTAACTATTACTTCATTTCTCCAGAATATTAATTTAGAGACTGAAGGGAAAGATTTCTGACTTCCAAGACTCTAAATGGTGACTTAGAAGTGTAGCTATCTACAGTTATTCAGAAATATCTATTTCCTTATTCTCCAGGATGTAGAAGACAAACAAGAGAAAAAAGAACCACAGTGGGTCATGTCTGTGTAAAGATTACCATCCATACAAGAATTAAGACATGTTAGAAAAAGGGAAAAAAAAAAAAGAAAAGAAAGAAAAGACATGTTAGAAAAACACGGCTGGCTAGCTGGTCAAGCGAAGCACAGACATAAATGCTCAAAGCTCAATGACAGATCTGTACTGTATTTTTCCTTTTATCTAGGTTCATTTTCTAAATACCACATACCTGTCACAAGAACAGCTTTAACAAAAATGGCCAGGACTCCCCAGAAAAGCAAATGATTCTTCATGTTGCCTCCACTTCTTTTGAAAAACTGGAGCTAAAAGGTCAGGTTAAGGTGTGGAACCCGTAAGGAGTGTGCAAATGACGGTGCTTCTGCTTTCTTAAAATAACGCTCCAGGCAGTTAACAAACTCAAACCAATCACAACCGCCGCTGAAGTCTGAAATTTTTAAATGCTACTTTGAAAAGAAATGTATTGCTTGCATTTAAGTATTTTCTTCCAAAGCAACCTCAATAACCTATGCTTTGATGCAATCTTTTTTTATTTTGTATTTATTCTATATAATTAAATCAGAAGACAAATAATTTCAAGGCAAGAGTCCATTAAGAATATTTAAGTAGAAATTGTCAACTTTATTACCTTGATAGATACATATCGGTCTTCAAATCAAATGTCTGAGACTTATGCCTGGAACAATAATTGAAGGGAAGAGAAGGAAGAAGAATGAATTATAATCCACTAAAGTCCTAATTGTATCTTGTCTTTTTTTTTTCCTATTAGTCCTTAATTAACCAAGCTGACAGAAGAATGAAGGTGTCTATGTGTGTGTATGTGTGTGTGTATGAATATTCTAATATTCTGATTACTTTCACTATTTTCAAAGTTCAATATGAAATTGGAATCAGAAATTGCTAAATACTAAATGTATCAGTTGTCAACTTTTAACCTGATGGAAACCTTAATTAAGGCAGACTTGTGTTTGCCAATTCATTAACACTGTTCAGAAATGTAAACCCTTAAGATGATTTTCATTTTAGGCGCCTCAACAGCAAATTGAAATCACTGTAGCATTTCCTGTGATTTTTTTTATTAGCGTCATTTTTTTATATATAATCTGAGTGAGTGAACAGAGCATCCCCCTGTCCCCTCCCCAACATGCTAGAATCCCTGTCTCTGATGCAGGTTTGGTTCCAAGACAATGTTGGTTATATTTATAATATAACAGTATCTAATCTATGCTACTTTTGGTTCTCAGCTCTCTAATTTTTGAAGGGTCTTCCAAACTCTTAAGAAGAGATACTAAAGAAATACTTCATGATCATAAGTAGGCAAGCAGATGTCATAGCTAGCAGTAGAAGATGGCAGAATGAATACAATATTAAAGGCTAACACATAATTTCAATAATGTTGGTCCAATAAATATGTACTTGATGCCTAGTAAGAACAAAGTGACAGAACATACCATGTTACTATACTGTTAGACTGGACCCTCATTTTAATTTCTACTATCAATAGAACTTAGAAACTACTTAAGTTTAAGGAAAATATACTGGATTCACATGAACAAATATATTAGAAAAAGAAACATTTGAAAGCACATTATACTAGTTTGTGGTCAGAATATTAAAACTAAAATCAACCACTGTAAAAGCGTCTCATTCCTAACTGTAGTTATTCTAACACTTTAAAAAAAAAGTAATTAGAAATAAGTGGGGTTTTGTTGGGTTTTTTTTTTTTAAGTTGTTATTTCCTTACAAACAAACTCAAGACTAAACTGCTTCCCTAAAGCAAGTTGGACAAATCCCCAGTGGCAAATTAAAGCTTTCCAAGAAATTGCTTTTTTCTTTTCTAGATTATTTAATTAATTATTACTAACTTAAAGAAAAAGGTCTTTAGGTTGTACAAATGGTTTGCACTAGTCTACTAAGGAGCTCTGGTAGCGTAGTGCCTAAGGCACTTGACTGCTAATCAGAAGGCTGGCGGTTCAAACCCACCAGCCACTCCTCAGAAGGAAGGTTGGGCAATCTACTTCTGTAGTGATATCACCTTGGAAACCCAAGAAGGGGTCGCTATGAGTCAGGTCCGACTCAAGGACACACAACAACAACAAGTAACCTAAAGGTTGGCAGTTTGAACCCACCTAGTGGTGCCTTGGAAGAAAGGTCTGGTGATCTGCTTCCCTAAAGATTACAGTCAACACATTTGTAAAAAGAAAAAGAAAAAAGTCCAGAGTTAATGGACCTATAGAGACTAGAACCCCTGAGACTACTGCCATAATATACCCTTTGACCTTAAAACTGAAGCCACTCCCAGAGTTTACCCTTCAATCAAATAGACTGGCTTATAAAATACAGTACCACCAATGAGTACTGTGCTCCTTTAAATAATCATTTATATGAGACCACAGACTTGTTTACCCTAAAACAAAGACAAAAAGCTAAGGAGGGTCAGGGAAATTAGATTAATGGAAAGAAAACAAAACAAAACAAAAAAATAGAAATAATGAGACTGTTGACACATTGTGGAAAATGTAACCAGTATCTTGGAACAAGCTGTATAAAAATTATTAAATAAGAACCTAATTTCCTATGTAAACTTTCACCTAAAACACAATAAAAATTAAAAAAAAAAAAAAGGTTACAGTCAAGAAAACCTTATGGAACTAAGGTGCACCTAAAGCGAGCCATGGTATTTTCAATCACCTCATATGCAGATGAAAGCAAGACAATGAGTAAGACAGAAGTGTTGATGCCTTTGCAATGTGTTGTTGATGAAGAATACTGGAAATACCATACCAAGAAATAACAAAACAGTCCCGGAAAAAGTGCAGCCAGAATGCTCCTTGGAAGCAAAAATGGCCAGACTTCATTTCACCTACTTAGATCATGGTGTCAGAAGGGACCATTCGCAGAGAAGGATATCATGCTCAGTAAAGTAGTTGTTGTTGTTATGTGCCGTCAAGTCGGGCCCGACTCATAGCAACCCCTCCTTGGGTTTCCGAGGCAGTTTCACTACGGAAGTAGGATTGCCCAACCTTCCTTCCGAGGAGTGGCTGGTGGGTTTGAACCGCCAGCCT